AGAAAAGTGTTTACCAGCATTAACCTATGATCACATTAATACACATCCAAATAAATTACGATATATAAATAAGGAAGGCAAAAATTTAGTTCCGCAAATTTGTCTCCATGCTTTTATTACGTTTTCATTGTTTATACTAATTGTCAAAAACGTGATTATAATCAGAAGTAGTATATATTTAACAGATGCATATCACCTTGGTAACCCGATCTCACAACAAGTTCTTTNTTACGATATATAAATAAGGAAGGCAAAAATTTAGTTCCGCAAATTTGTCTCCATGCTTTTATTACGTTTTCATTGTTTATACTAATTGTCAAAAACGTGATTATAATCAGAAGTAGTATATATTTAACAGATGCATATCACCTTGGTAACCCGATCTCACAACAAGTTCTTTCGATAATTTTTGCTATGGGTAGTCATACTTTATTGGTAGAATTAAGTCTTCTCAAACCTTTGTTTTCAGTCCGTGTTAAGATTATATGCAAGAGGAAGACAGAAACTGGACCAATATTCCAGAAATCAGAACTGCTACTAGGAGATGAGAAGGTAAGATTTATATATTGATAAAATTTACTGTTATATTAGTATTTTTTTTTTTGTATTTACTAACGAATTTTGATTCATGTTGAACAGGGAAATACAATTATAAGAAAAAGGTATAACATTCCGTTTAGTTACATTCTTTGCCATTATTCATTAATTGTAGTTTAGCATAATGTTTTAATAGTATGTTTTGGTTAAGTGCATTCTTAATGTAGACCATGGAAGAAACATGTTATTTGGTAACATATTTTATATCATTTTTAAACCAGTTAAAATATTTTACCCGATTACTACTTTAGAATGTTTATATAAATCAGTTTTTTATTATATTATATAATGTATAATTTTTTTGTAACACATATAATGTATAATTTAGATTACACTATATCAAAATCAGTTATTTAAAACCGGTTTTATTATATTTTCTAAATCAGTTTTTATTATATTATACAATATATCAAATGAGATTATAATTTGAAATGTTTACAATGTATTTTGGAAAATATTATATTATAAAATGTGTCAAATTATATATTTTATTTCGAATATTCAGCCACCATAACCGCACACCTCTAATTGAATACTACAAACCAAAAATAAAATTTATAAATTTCTAGCATACAACTAAAATTTCTTCACATAGACTTGATTTGGTACATAGTCTTCAATTAGAGGCTATGATGACAAGGATGATTTGTTGTATTACTATATATTTTGATAAAGTTTATTTAATAAGCTTTTGAATATGGCAAAACTCTTTCTTTTGTGATTGATCATCTAATTTTTGAAATATTTGGAAATAAATAACCAGTCACTTAAATTAAGGACCATGGCTTTGTATAATTTTTTCAAATTTCAAAATTGCTTCAAATAACAATATTGACATGTATTCATGAATTTATTTTTTTCAATTTTCATAAATGATAAGAGAAAAATGATTATGGTTAACATGTATCCATGAATTTCCTAATCTGCTTGGACAGTTTCTGGTTCGATATCAATTCATAATTCATATTGATTGATTTTTTTTTTAAAACATATTTATCGGGTATTATAGAGTTGTATATAAATAAATGTTGATTATGTCTAGACTCTTTTATTAGCAAGATCATATCACGACATTTATATTATTTGAAGATTGATTGATTTCTTAAGGGTAACTAAAACCGGTCTTTATTATATTATATAAACTAGGGTTTATTATATTATATAATATATCAAATGATATTGCAATTTGAAATCGGTGTACTATTGTTTTATTAACGAAGATAATAATTTGAAATGGACCATTATATATAATTTGAAATGGACCATTATATAATGTATATATGCTTACCTCTGTTCAAAAACGCGGGCGCCTAGCCGCCCAGGCGCCCGTATAGTCGCCCCTCGGACTACATGCGCCGCGACTTTGCCTAATCGGAGAGAAAAATCGGAAATAAATTAATCGGCCCAAAAGCTAATTAATCGGCCCAATTACCCGATTAATCGGTCTGATGATCCGACTAGGCGGCCCAAATTTTTAACTTTAAAGACATTTTGAGCTGTAGATGAAGCCCTATATCTTACTTGAAGAGAAGCACGTAGAGGACCTATATATAGGACCTATATATAGAGACATATTTCGCTTCCTCCCTCTTAGAGCATCCACATCAATGAACACCCTCTTGGGGTTCATTGAATATTTTTTTATTATTAAAAATTTTCTGTTTTCTTTTTGATTTTCTTTAAAAAAAAAAAAAAAATCTAGACCAATCCCGAGCCGCCACGTGTTGAACCTCAGGAGAGAGAGGTTCACCGGGGTGAACTTTAAGAGAGAGGGGTTCATAGATTTTTGTTATTTTTTTTTCTTGATTTCCGTGTGAACTCCCCCCATGAACCTTCAATGGGGGTGCTTTGATGGGGCGTCGAACCCAGGTGTACCAGCGATACAACTATGGTTAAGACCACCAGGAGAGAATGTACTCTTGGACATTTTACCCATGTGTTGATATATCAACGTGTGTATAGTAAAGTACAAAAACTAATTTCTATGTAATCTTTTTTTTTTCTATCTAGACTTGTTTATATATATACATATATGTAAAATACCTTGTATTTAAGTTAATTATTGATATAAATTTGAGTTACAGAAATTATCACATTATGATGTATATTTAAACTACATATTTAATTTTATCTATTAAATAGAATAAAAAATATTTAAAAACTAGTTCCCGCGTATATCCCCCTTAATCCCCGATTTTTTGATAACTCGCTAGGTCCGGGGTCGCCGCCCGACTAACGCCTAGCGTAGTTTCGAACAGAGATGCTTACAATGTATTTTTAGAAGTATTATATTATAAAATGTATCCAATTATATTTTTTATTTGAAATTTTCGGCCATCAGGACCACACACCTAATTGAATTCTACAAACAAAAAAAAATAAAATTTATTATAGATTAATATACTAAATTATTGTTCGATCAAAGTCAAAGTCATCTCACTCCGCGCAGGGCGCGGATCAACACCTAGTATTTAATATTAGTGGAGTAAACCAAACCGACTAGAAGGAGTTGAGTTCTCAGACCAGTTGGAATATGTGCTTAGACAAGCATGCACCAAAGTAACTTCATGACCAGACAGAGCGGTTCACACTTGACCGTTCTTGATTATATAAACTGGCAGACCGTGAACTTACTAAAATTGGATATTACTATACTAAAATTGGATCAGTTCAAGCTTTACCGTTGGAGACCACGAGAGTCTTCTTCATTCAACAAAACTCAAATCTCCATCTCTACTTAACCAAGCTTGTAAACTCTTTGATCATCAATGTGACTGATAGAGTTTTACCTCCAATTTCTCTCTACAACTTTGTAAACTCAATCTAAAGGGTATACTGATCAATGAATACAAAGATCAAATCGCTAACAACTTAGATCTGAGAATTAATTGGTGGCCTCATCCAGATAATTTCTTCTTAAGTCGTGAGATTTAATTCCATATTACAAGCTACCCCCCCCCATCTACGAGCCACGCTCGGCTATTTATATAAACTCTAAGAAAATAGTGAACACTCTAAGACAATTAGAGTCTTTCATTTATTATGTTTTATTATAAACTTCAAGCAACCATCTTTTAATAGTTTGGTGGAATTTAATCTTACATCAGATTCAATATCAGCTTGGTTCTCCAATTCTCTCCAGTTTCCTTAGGCCGTTAGCGCACGGGATCATCAGGACATTTGTTTCCTTGGCCCGAGGTGAAGTATAAACTTCCCGTCTCAGTACCCAACCCACGTTCTCTTCACAATTCACACGGTATCATGATAACTTTCCATTCACATACCATTTCTGCAAACAAACAAAAAAACTGAGCTTCTGTTTACACTTAGTAACAGTCAGACTAAACATGGTATTAACTTAAGCATGCATAGACGTGGTTTATTCAAGTTAAACCGTAAGTTTTCAACTGTGAGAACTATCTTCTTGGTTTTAGGATGCTGATCTGTGGGTACCTCCAACTTCCCGTCTCACTAAATAAACCCTAAAATTGATAAACAAAATATCAAGAGACTGCTTTGCATCATTAGTAGAAGGTTTCTTAGAAACTCCCCTATCTTTAAGAAACATCATACACATAATTGGAGAGGATAAACACAAGTGAATCATCATGGTCGATGGATATGTTATAATCTCTCCCTGTCTGTCTAAAAGATAAAATAAAATAAAATAAAAAATTATGTTTCAAAATGATATATATGTTTTATATGCAATTTTTATTAATTTGTAAATTGTAATTTTTTAGAAAATAACTTACTTGTTCAAATACTATTAGTTTAAAATACATTTATAATCAACTTTTAATATATTTTCTTAAGATATAAGAATAGAGAGTAGTATATAACTAATTTGAGTTACAAGAGTGTGGATTTACAAAATAAAGGGTTTCTTTTAGTCTACCCAGACGACATAAATTGTGAAGCAGAATCCTCTGTCCTTAATAACTGATCACGTATGCTAATAATTTCTAAAAACTGTGGATTGGATGGTAAAGAATCCTATCCAATGTAACACAACTCCATACCATATGAAAAGGACATTATTAAGCTCAATCTGAAACAAAATCTAAAGGTGTTCAACTTCTTAATTAAGATCCCATCCAAGATCTATCACAAAGACACAAACGATTCACGTGGTCTTGTTGATTTTTAAGGACAAGACTTGCTCATTTAATAATTAAAAGAACCAAAAATTTTGTTCCAGTCTCAGAGGAATTATAACTGGAATTGTATAGGAATTAAATAATAGAGTAGTAAGACTTACATTTTAACTTCATCAAATATCATGAAAACTTGGATAATAATGCATAAACTAGTGTGGCAATTACAAGTCACGTGTGGCTGGGGCTTTCCATGTGCCTAGCCCCAAACAACCTTGTTGGATTTGAACCAAAGTCGGATCATACCTGTGAGGAAGTGAAGATTCAGATCCTACGTCATGAAGCTCTATTTTTATATATTTATCCGTTTCCACAATGTGTAAGCAGTTACTAGAATTCTTATATTTAATTGGATACACTAAGACTCTATTCTCAGGGTTGGCCAAGAAACTCATCCCATTACAAAGCGGATAGGTTCGTCCCACTGTTAGAAGTTTACTCCATGACATGTCTCCGGTACTTTTAATCTTAGTTGCCATCCATACATCTATATCGACCACCTCGCCACGAGAGGAAGTTAATAGACAAAGTTTTTGTTCTTTTCTAGTCACTGATAAAGCAAAAAGATTATTAGAACGATGATCATCCGGAAGAGACAAACATCCAAATTTCTTTGTTGAAAAATCAAAAACACTGTAAGCTATTTATGAAAATTGGACAGTCTTGATTAAAATCAAGAGAAAACCAGTAAGTATTTCCATGCACGGACTTGACAATTCACCAGCTCCCTGGAAATGACCACTGCCTAGTCTCACCAACAACCCTCCACGAGTTAGATGTAAAGTCATATATTTCGTACTCAACAAGGCATGGCTCCCAAAAACCGTCCCCATGATGACTAACCCTCAAGATTTTGTACTTGTTGTTGCATGAGGATTTACCGAGAGCGTAGGTATCGGTATTATTGAAATTTATTGGTTTGATAATCATATTGGTTTCCCCTGAGCATGGATTCCAAACAACCAATCTTTTGTCCATGGTGGTGCATAGCAATAGACAAAAGAAAGAGGGTCATTGAGGCTGAACTGACTTATTACATTTACAACGTTGTTGTCGTGATTGCTGCGGAGATCAAGCCAATCTAAATAGAGCCTACAATGAATTAACATGACAACAAGAGACTTATTGGCAAGTCTTTCTTCATTTTTTATAAGAGTGTTCCATACTTTTGAAGTAGATCGAAGTCGTGCCAGAGAATCCTCCGGAACCCTCGAGAGTATCTCCACAAGCAAATCCTCAGGAAGATATGTATACTGCGTCATCTTGTTTTCGTTTTCTGGCATCAAAGATATGTGGTAAAACATGAGTCTCCTCTTCAGCATATTTAAGCAGAGAGTTTTGATATAACTTGGAGACTAAAACCGTTCTTTCTTCAGAACTTTCAAACTTGGTTGTATAAAAACCCTTGTAACCTAATGATATACAAATTAGGTTGTGTACGAAACCCTAGTGTTATGTGACTTACCGATTTCAAAACACTTCTGTTGTGGGCTTATTCGCCCTAGATCCAACTGGAAGTTTGGCTTGTGGGCCTGCCATGTTATAAGTAGCGCTCCGTAAACACATTTCAAAGATATGTGGTAAAACATGAGTTTTTTTGCTTTTGTTTTGAAGACGTATTAATGATTCTACGTAAGTTTGTGTTTTTTCTTTAATTTACAATATACATAACAGATAGATATAGCAATTGTTTTCTCATTGATTCATCAGTTTGGTTATCCATATCTCTGCAACTACCTTGCGTTGCCCCAAGGTGAAGCATCCTGACCAATGTTGTAAGTCAACTTTCAAATCAGATACCATTTCTGCAAAGAAACAAAGTACTCAGCTACTGTTTACAGTTATTAACAGGCTAGAGCTGGTCTTTAACATACAGGGGCATGGGGTTTCTACCATGGTATTCAGGTCAAAATGGAAGATTTTCCCCAAAGAGAACCATCTTCTTAGTTTCAGGATGCTTCTCTGTGGTGCCTCCAATGGTTACAATGGAGTTGTTAACTACTTTCCAAGCAAATGCAATATGTGAATCTGGTTTTGGCATCGATGGCATAACTTTCCACTTTTTATTTCCTCATCCAGCATGTAACATCACTGAATACCACCAGGGTGAAGGAAAGGACACACACAACATTCATTAAATAGTAACACTAATGATGATATTCACATAAACAGGTAGTTCATTGGATACCGAGGACGTGAGCATTTGAAGATGTTAGATTCTGATAACACTCATGATATTCACATAAACAGGTAGTTTAATATCGCTATTCCGAACACTATATATAGGAATGTTCCAAACTTACCTAGGAAGTGGTGAAGAGATAAAGTCACTCCCACGTATTTGTATCAGAGTCAATTACAGGTTTATCATATAAAAACATAGTAATTTTTCACTGAATCAAAGACTATTTCGTTTACACAAACAACAGAGCGTTGAGAGATGGGTTTATAGGATGGATACAAAAAGAATGCATTAAAGAGAGCGAGTTCCTTAAGAAGTTGAAACTTGAAAGATAAAATTGTTTTTGATTACAACCAACACTTGCAAGCTCAAAGCTCTTTTTAGTCGTCTTCTCTTTCTGGAGGAAGGCCACAAGGTAGAAGCATTTTCTGCAAAATCGAAAGTAGCCATAAGCAAACATGAGCTTTGCCATTATTCTGAATCAAAAAAATATGAAAGACACTATGAACAAATAGAAGACATATCACAAGACTAATACTCTCTCTAACTCAACTGAATGTAACCCATAAACTTAAAAGAGTAAAAGAACAGACATAGTGTATCTACACTCTGAACCAGTGCACAGAGAACACAACCGAAAATAACTATCATTAGCTAAACCCATAACAATCATAATGCTGTTGTTCCTTCAGTTTAGTGCAGACAAAAGACCAAAAGAAACCAACTTAACACATTAGCAAATAAGAATCTTAACAGAAGCAAATATAGTTGCAGGGAGAAAAGAAGGACCTGCATGAAGTTGTAGCGCTCTCGTCCAATGGACTCGTTCTCAGCGATAGCAAAGTAAGCAAGCATGGGGTAGTGACCAATGTAGGAAGCATAACTATCACGCTGAATGTTCACTGCCCATTCACTAGACAATAATAGATAAGTTCCAATTAGTCCACAGTTTTAAAAGCACGAAAGAAAATCAAATTAAAAGAAACTTACAATCTGCTCAAATCAGCATGGCCTGTACCAACATACTTGGCTTGAAGATGTTCAAGCTGAGAATTGATGTTAAACCTATCACTTGCCTGCATAAATTCCGACACAAGAATTTGAGATTCGCGTAACTATCTGATGCTTAAGATACCTAAATTCATTCACAGATCTCAGCTACGCTTTCAAGAAATTGAACTAAATTACCGACTAGGGGGCGATTATCCACAATTGCAGTTGAGGAGGTAAAAAAAAAAAGCTAGGGTTTCGAAAACATTACCTGCATCTTTGTTCGCGACACAGCTCTGCTCTTTGAAGAAGATTCAATTTAAAAGAATACAGAAGATTCTGGCTCTAATATGCGCCGTCGCTCGCATATTTATTTCTATCGACGTTGGCAAATTAATTTCTTGAGAAACTGTATGGGCTTTGCTTTGGCCCAGGAAAAAATATCAAACAACCCATTCCACACCATCTATACTATTATTTTTAATTAGAGAAGATAAAAAAGTATAGTAGCATATATAATTGCATATTTGATATATTATAGCAAGAAGTTTCTTTAGTATAGTGGTTGATGCGTCCGTTTTAAAGAGTGACAAAGCACGGGTTCGAGTCCCGGAATGTGCATATTTTTTTAAAAAATAATGAAATCAAAACGATGTCGTTTTATCATTTTAACGGTTGACTAACTTCTGTTACGGTGAATGTTTTAAAGAGTGACAAAGCACGGGTTCGAGTCCCGGAATGTGCATATTTTTTTAAAAAATAATGAAATCAAAACGATGTCGTTTTATCATTTTAACGGTTGACTAACTTCTGTTACGGTGAATGTAGGTTTAGGCATGTTTTAAAAAGTTCAGGTAGTTTTTTTTGAATTATAAAGTAGTTCAGGTCGTATTTGGCACTGACAATTTGTTCGGGTTGTATTTGGCACGATTGAAATTGTTTGGGTAGGAATATGCCATTTTCCCGGTGTTATGTCCTCCACGATTTTAGGTCATTTTCATAGTTTTTAGTTTTAAATCATATTTTCATAATATTTTCATTCATAATACTTATCTAACATGTTTTAAACATTTTTTTTTATTATTATAAATCGTTAAATAATAATAATCCGATAACATACATGTTTGATCAAAAGCATTATTAAAATATTTTAGTTGGTTATTATATTGATTATAGTCCGGTAAAATACATGTTTGGCCAAAAACATTATCAAAATATTTTAGTTGATTATTATATTGATTATGTGCCGCTGACTTAGTCATTATCAAGAATTATTTAGTATAGAATTCAGTAAATATTGTCCTAGATAATCACGACAATGAAAATATACTATGTTACATTACAGACATATATATATATATATATATATATATATATCATTCAAGTTTATTTCGTTTACATCTCCCACAAAATAAATTTTACACACAAATTTAATAACTTCTCAGTAAATATAATAACTTCCCAACAATGTCTTTCTTGAGATAAAAAAACATGCTTCTGTTGTTCTTATTAGAGAGATTGATCCGGCTAAAGATTGTTATAAGATTAAAGTCAAAGTGTTAAAAGCTAGAATACATGGAAAAACTCAAAAATCATTTCGATTGAATTAGTGTTGGTTGATACCATTATAAGTATTGTATTTTTCTTCTTTATTGCGTAGCACTAATTATGGTTTAGTTCTACTGATATATTTTTGTAAATTTTTTTAGGGTACGAGGATTCATGCTTATATTGATGAAAGTTCTCTTAGTAACTTCAAATCTAAGTTATTTCAAGGAGACTCTTTTATTCTGAATAATTTCACCATCGGTGATTATACAAGAGAATATAGAACGTATCCTCTTCCTTTTAATATTAACTTTTATAGAACAACCAAAATCACTCCTTGTGATTACTTTCCCAAAGAGTTGCCAAATAATTATTTCAAGGATTTTAAGGAAATATTTGGATGTGAATATGAAAAAGAAGTCTTGATCGGTAAATTTTCTAAATTATAGTGTTTTAAATTGATGTGTCCCTATTTATATTCTCTTTTTTTCACCAGTTCCATATTCTAATGTTTTGTGTTTTGGATATTATTGGTGAAGTTGTGAATGTTGAACCTTTAGAAGATCTCATGGCAAAAGGAAAGTCAACAACTAAGCTAGAATTAATAATTTGTGACATAACATAAGTTTTATTCAGCTTTTAATTTTATATTATTTTATTTTAATAATTTTATACTGTTTTCTATTCTAAATATTTAGTGATACATGTTTAACATGTACGTTGTGGTCTGGATATGCAAAGAAAGTATCAGATTTCTTTAAATCTAATGAATCATCGATCATGTATTGTCTGTGTTGCTCGATTTGTTTGTGTGTGAGAATTCCGAGGTATTTTTTCCCATAGAATCTAACATCTAAATTGCTGATAATATATAATATTTATTTGTTGTTGTAATTCTGTTGATGTTTTAGGAGCTGTTACAGTTTCTAATGTATTCAATGCCACTGAAATTATTTTTGATCCACAACTAAGAAATGCTCGACTTCAAATCCAAAATTTCCCAATGATGATTTGGCTATTACTAAAGAAAACTTTCATCCAAAATCTACACCTATAAAAGTAGATTTTATGATGAGTTTTTCATTAATAATCCAATAAAAACTGTCAGTGCATTGAACTCATCGAATGAGGTATGTTCCACTTACTAAATAGTTTTGGTTGTTTTATGTGAAGTTCATTTGTTTGTTTCTATAGGTGCGAAAATGTGTTACACTTTGCAAGATTGTTTCCAATGAAACTACTCCAAAGTGGTATTTTGTTGCGTGTCATACCTGTAGAATGACAGTTCATCCATGTGAAGATGATCTTGATGATGATAGTCCACCTTTTATCCAATATTTAGCTGAATATGTTTTAAACCTAAAATATTTAAAATTGTCCGAATAACCTGATATTTTTATCCAAACAACTCGAATTAACTGTTTTAACCTGAAAAACTCTAAACTATCAGAAATTACCCTCCGAAGTAGAACCAAACTAGACCTAATTTTTTTCTAATATTATCCGGTTCCTAACTTTGCTACCCCAACCGAATCGAAAACTGAAATAACCAACCAAACCCAAAATATTTGAACCAAAATCAAACTGAAAACTGAATGCCCAGACCCAAACCAAACCATAAAACCCACTAAAGTCTTAGTATACAGACTTCAAACTCATATTCTAACAGAAAAACCTAATATCCTTAGAAGCTTTGAAATAGGATTACGACTTATTTGGTTTTATAATTGAGTTTCTGATTTATTTTCATAGTATAAATCAGAATATAAAAGAAAGAGAGCAAAAGGAAAAAAAAAGAAAGAACAAAAAAAAAAGAGAAACAAAAAATATAAAGTATATGAGATATAGTGAAATATGGTCCATATTCTAACGCTTAAAATTAAAGACTAACACATTAAAAATATTATATACTAATTATCATCCTGATGAATTTTTTTTAATAGGAAAACACATTTAATATTGTTGGACATATATTCCCTGTACAAGGTGCGGGAAAGTACCTAGTAGACTAGTATAACGTAATTTACAACAGAACAAATATAACTATTTATTTATTTATTTATTTTTGTTAATGAAATCAACATATGAACTGATGATCATCATTGACGATATTGAGACCTTTCAATAATATAGTTTATTAGATCCTGAAAACTAAGAGTATCATTAGCGGCAAATCTCTCAACATGGATTTCTATACATAAATATGTTACTACTAACACTTGCGTTTTTTTAATGATGCAACCCCTGTTCTTTTGTTTGACGCTGCTATCATCGTCAGTGACTGGAAACCAAATCTATTCTCATGGTAAATTCACGGCTGACGGGACAAAAACAACATTTTTTCTAGTCGCTGCGGTCAAGAATAATGAATAAATTAGACGCGGAAAATAACAGCGTTAGTGATCTCTTGAGATTATGGGAAAAAAAGTGACCGATGTGTCTTACAACTGCAGCCATGGCGTCGAAAGCACTGAATATCATAGTGCATTTTTTTGACGCCGCCGCTGATCGCAGCGTCAGAGAAAAGACCAGGGGTGCAGAGTCATTTAAGCTTTAGATAAATCAAACGGAGGCTAATGTTATTATGCTTTTACAAGGATGTCCAAGATACGTTACAACTTACATGCCTATCTACAAGTTTTTTTCTAGAACATCTATCTACAACTCTTATGCTAAAGTAACACATGGATGGTTTTAAATCAAAACTGAACATATTATCTAAGATGTGAAAATAAAAACTTAATATTATAAATTAAGGTACAATTTGGAAACTTTGCTAACAATAGGTGTCCATAATATAAGTTTGTATTACTATCAATAGGTCTCCATAATTTACCTAAAAGAGGGGAAAATAACCCAAATCTGAACCGACCCAATAAACATAAATCTGAACCAAACAAAATCCAACATAGATACTTTATGAGTCTTACAATTTTACCCGAATTGAATTCAACCCTAAATGAATATCCGAAAAACTTAAAATTCAAAGGTCCAATAAAAACTCATAACAAACTCGGACTCAGTCCCAGTAAATGTACATCTTATTCTAAGATAATATTGAGTAGCTAAAATAAATATATATTACATGAATAGTTAACTGAAATACTTAATTTAATAGATATATTTTGAATTGATCAAATATTGATATTTTATGTTTGACAATTGCTTTGGAAGTTCATTTATAACTATGTTTATTTTGAAATGTTAAACAATGTTGTTTTATTTTAAAATTGAAATAATTTTTCATATGTTTGTATATAGAGTTGTTAATTGCTAATTTAACTAGTTTATGTTTTTTCTCTACTTAACAACCATTTTGAAGCATATCACCTGTAAGACCCGAACCCGCCGTCTAGGCCGCGGTTAAAGCCTCACGTCGCTCGGTCCTCTACCGGACCGAACCTCAAAATTTCTGCCCTAATTTAAAACATCGCCCATATGCGAGGGCTAACTCAGACCTTAGCTCAAGACTACCTTAGTCATTTACTAGCTTAGGTCAATTCAAGTTATGTACAGCGGAATATTGTCTACTTATCCATTGGTC